CAGCAGCGAGGGCGGCGCCAGCACAGTTAAGAGAGGACCATCCATCACCGTACAGGAGCACGGCTAACTTGGGAATCTGATAGAATAAACGGCCGCGGATATCAGACGTGCTCGAAGAAGAAGACGCTGCCTCGTCCGGCTCGGATAGCTCTAGCAGCTCCGGCAGCTCCAGCAGCTCGTCGTCAGAGGCAGGAGAAGAGGACGCGGAGGAGGAAGAGATCGGTCTTCGCTCGACCCAGGCCATACACGAGAAGAACTCCCGGAGACAGGAGAATGTGGCGGCAGAGCATGGGATCATAGAGCGTGTCGACTGCTACAATTTCATGTGCCATGAGCACTTCTCGGTCGAGCTGGGCCCGTTGATCAACTTCATCGTAGGCAAAAACGGGAGCGGGAAGAGCGCCATCTTGACCGCACTCACACTCTGTCTGGGAGGAAAAGCGTCTGCTACAAACCGTGGCCAGAGCCTTAAAAGCTTCGTCAAGGAGGGCAAGGAGTAGGTGATGCACTTTTAGCTCTCTTGGGGGTGCTACATTTTGCTAATGTACTATGTCAGGTCCGCAACCATCATCGTGCGCATAAAGAACAGAGGAGACGGTGCCTATCTACCAGACACGTATGGAGAGTCAATAATCGTCGAACGTCACTTCACACGCTCTGGCTCAAGCGGTTTTCGTTTGAAAAGTAAGTCGGGGGCCATCATCTCAACAAGGAGAGCGGATCTAGATTGTATCACGGACTACTTTGCGCTGCAGATGGACAACCCTATGAACGTACTCTCTCAGGACATGGCCCGGCAGTTTCTGAGTACCTCAAGCCCTGCTGAAAAGTATAAATTTTTCATGAAGGGGGTGCAGCTAGAACAATTAGACCACGACTACCACATGATGGAGGAATCCATAGACCAGCTTCAAGCCAAACTCCTCGACCATCAGGAACAATTGAAGGTTCTGGAATCTAACAGGAACAACGCAAGGGCACGGCTGGCACAGTCTGACAGGCATGAGAGCCTAAGAGCCCGGATTCGACACTTACGATCACAGACAGCCTGGATACAGGTAGAGGAACAAGAACGGGTCTGCCATTTCCCCCCTTTGTATCCCAGTCTTTTTTTCTTTCAGCAAGCTAACTAGCCACAGATTCGCGATTCTCTCGTTGCTGAAATAGCAGAAACAAGAGCACGTATTGAGCAGCTGGAATCCGAAGCTGAAAATCGTGATGCAGAATTCCAGGCAGCTGATCAAGAAGTCAACGAGGCAAGAGAGGCCGTTCGTGTAGCTAAGGAAGCCCAAGCTGCTATTGATGATAGTAAAGCAGAAATCAAGCAACGGTATGATGAAGCCGTTAAAGAGCGGACAGGTCTCCAGGTGTGTCTCCTACCTAACGCTACCAGGTATTAATACAAGTACAATGGCTAATATAAGAGGAAGGCCCAACAAGCGATGATCAGGGAGCATATAATGGATAATAAAAGGACAATTGCTGATACTGAAAAGCAAATCGAAGAGGAAAACGCGAGGATTGAGGCATTGAATGGTGGTGCTACAGCAGCAAAACTCAAGGAACTTGAAGAAACGAGGGCTGCTGCGTCGACCGCCAAAGAAAGATACAATGAGCATAAACAAGGTGCTGAAGATTTACAGAAAGCCGTCTCTGAAGCAGAAGAAGCTGCCGGCAAGAAAAGAGGGCCGATAGGGATGAAGAAGACCGAGATCACTGATGCGGAAAACCAGCTACGAACATTGATGAGAGATAGTAGAGACCAACAGGACGGGTTTAATGAGAGAATGCCCTTGCTTCTGCGGGCGATTGCCGCTGAACAGGGATTTGACCAAGCACCAGTTGGGCCTCTGGGCCAACATGTACGCCTTTTGCAGCCCAAATGGTCTTCCATCCTGGAGAATGCATTCGGCACAACACTCACGAGTTTTGTGGTTACTTCAAAACGAGATATGAATGTCTTGTCTGGAATAATGCAACGGGTAAATTGGTGGGTTGAGGAACGCTATGCAAACTACTGAGCTTTTCGCTAACGTGTATTTTGTAGCGTCTGTCCAATATTTATTGGAAATTCACAAGGAAGGATTGATACCACGAACCATGAACCTGATTCTAAGTTCGATACCGCACTGAGAGTACTAGAGGTTAGCTTTTTCTTATCACTATAAAGATCCCTTTTACTAACTACCTCCGCCCGGCTCAATATAGATTGATAATGATATGGTTCGCCGTCAATTGGTGATCAATCACGGCATTGAACAGATGCTACTGATTGAAAATCTTGAAGAGGCATCAACAACCATGTTTGATGGCGCAAGGCCAAGAAATGTCAAACGATGCTACTGTATAGATTCTGGGGATAGACGGCGAGGTATCCATCTTGCCTTTAATCGAACCGGAGACCCAAGCCAGTCTCCTATTCCTGCATTTACTGGAAGACCTCGAATGAAAACGGATATCGACATCCAGATAAGGTAAGTCTAGTCCTGACCCGGTTAATGCAACCCACCTGGTTACTGACTCATCTCTAGAATGCAGCGAGAAGTCATTGATACCCTCAAACGTGACCTTGGACGGCTTGAACAAGAATACCGTGCTGCGATCCAGCACCTTCAGCGGCAAAAACAGTTGCTCTCTATTCATAAAAACCAAGAGCATGAATTATTCGTCGAGAGTCAGAGGGCTGAAGATAGGGCGGATGATCTTAAAGACGCAATTGACAAGGACAGAAACCAGGATGGACGGCTCGAGGCCCTAAGTTCGGCCTTGAAAGAAGCTGAGGAAGAGCTGAAGCTACATGAACGTTCATTTGAAGATTGCGTCAACGCAAGGGACGTAGCAACAACCAAGGTAAAGGAGATAAAGAGGGAATTGGCTGCCAAAGACACTGAAATCTCTCGAGTTTCTGAGGATACCCGTAAAGCAGAAAATGAGCTGTCAGTCAAGGCAAATAAAAGGCATACGGCGCTCGTTGGCAAAAATGATGCAATTGCCAAAACAGACACTGCTAAAGCACAGGTTACTCAGATTGAGCGAAAGCAGGAAGATACTGCCACTCGAATTGCTGACTTCATCCAGAAGGCTAGTATGGTTTCTCCCAGGGTCCCGATTGATGCTGGGGAAACGGAGACCAGTCTTGCAGAGAAACTGGAGAGGCTGGATAGAGACCTCAGAAGATATGACTCGCAGTACGTAGGGCCAATCCCACGGTCATATAACCTTTTTTTTACTTACAGTTGTATTAGGATGGGGGCGTCAAGGGAGGAAATTGCCGCCGCGGCGGCGGAGGCGGATGCGAAATATGAGCGGTCACAGAACGAGATCGTCGGTTTTAGAACACTGGCACAGGTATGGAGTTATTATATATTTTTATCGGCCTCACCTAATTTTCTTCGCGTGGCTGCTCACCCGTGGTAGATGCTCAAAAACTCTCTGGTTCACCGGCAAGAAAGATGGCAGAAGTTCCGAGCTCATATTACGTCACGAGCGAAGATCCAGTTCATCTACCTTCTCAGCGAGCGAGGCTTCAGAGGAAGGCTGCTTGCAAATCACAAGAAGAAACTATTAGATGTTCAGGTAAGCAACGTACACTGAAGCAACTTCCCGCGTTCACTCTGCTAATTTGCTTCTAGGTTGAGCCAGACAGCACCAAGGATAGCATCAGTCGAGGAGCGAAGACTCTGTCGGGAGGAGAAAAGTCGTTCTCGCAGATATGCCTTTTACTAGCCCTATGGGAAGCTATGGGTTCCCCTATCCGTTGCCTGGACGAATTGTAAGCTGCCTTTTGCGCCTCATTCGCACCATCTGGTCTTCCGCTAATGTACTCTAGTGACGTCTATATGGACTCGGTTAACCGAAAGATGGCAATTGACATCCTGGTAAGTTTCTTAAGACGTGTTATCATAATACTTTTACGCTTAACCACCTAACTTTTTATCTCTGCCACTAGATGTATGCTGCTCGATGCTCAGTCGGGCGCCAGTATATCCTCATCACCCCCGGGTCTAGGTCTGAAATCACCGCCGCCCCAGACGTGCGCGTAAAAGAGTACGTTCATTTTGCCACTTTACTTTGCTCTGCCTATGCGATCCCTGATACTTACAGCCATTGCTTTCTATCTAGGCTTGCTGAGCCCGAACGAGGCCAGCGTACACTCTCCTTTGCGCAATAGCTCCTGACCTAACTCGGTAACCTGCCTCAGTCATGCAACCCAGAGAGGACCCCCTCAATCTTGTATATATAGCATCATCTAACCACCCCTTCCCGCCGTGTACATAGCCTATTCTATTCTCCCTCTTATCTCAGCTGCATCACTGCTCGTAGTCCGCTGCCACCAGGTCCTCTTTCACTCTCCCAGTAACGAACTACTTTAACTACTTGAAATCTTGGCGCACGGGCCAAGCCCTTTTCCCTCCTCCGTGAGTTTAACCTCAAAAAAGCCAAAAAAAGCTTTCTCATTTTCTTTCGACCTCCAAAAAACCGACAAAACAACAGAAACAACTTCGCCCTCACGCACACACAACACAACACCCTTGCAGCCCGACTATCTCCGCTGAATTTTCACCCTCAAAAGGCCATATCTCAGCCTCCTGGAACCTCCGTGTCCTCCCAGATCACACCCGTGTTTACCGAACAGCAGTTACGGTCAGGAAAAACTCTCAAACACACCACCCCCTCTCCGCACTCCAACAAGCCGCGCAACTCCTTCGTCGGCTGAGCACACGAGAAACGACTCCAACGCCGCTTTCAAGACCCTCACACTAACGATACCAGTAAGGCTTCGGCCTTCCTTACGCGTTGTTACCTGCTTTTGTTCGTTGCTTACAATCCCCGCTATAGTTACTTTTGAAGCCGTTTTGACCCTGGAGCTACGTCCACCTTGTTCGAAGACGTAGAACACGCAAATACCCATACGCACCCTTAGAAATACACAATCTCGACGTTACCTGACGCCTGTTGCCTTTTTCTTAACCCCCCCCGCCTTTACAAAATCGCCTACCATGACCGACGCTCTTGCTGCTCAGCTGAACAACACAAAGCTAGGGTTCGTATGGCGCCATCATTACACAATCGCAGAACTTTCACTTACTTTACCCCCAACAGTGACAGTAGCACGGATAACAAGTGGAAAGAACAATTGAAAATCCCGGCTAAGGATACGAGAGTACAGACCGAAGTAAGTCTTAAGCTGTCCCTGGGCTGATTGCCACCATGCTAGTTACGGATATTCTCTTCTAACCCTGTTATTTTTGTCCGCAACTAGGATGTTACCGCTACTAAGGGTCTGGAATTCGAAGACTTCTATATTAAGAGAGACCTAATGATGGGAATTTTTGAAGCTGGATTTGAAAAGCCGTCTCCTATCCAAGAGGAAACTATCCCCGTCGCTCTCACAGGTCGTGACATTCTTGCCAGAGCGAAGAACGGAACCGGAAAGACGGCTGCCTTTGTTATTCCAACCCTAGAACGCACCAACCCGAAAATAGCCAAAACCCAGGCCCTTATACTAGTGCCTACCCGAGAGCTTGCGCTACAGACATCACAGGTTTGCAAGACGCTTGGAAAGCATCTTGGCATAAATGTCATGGTCACAACTGGAGGAACCGGTCTACAGGACGATATTATCCGACTTAACGACACGGTTCACATCATTGTTGGAACACCTGGCAGAATTCTTGACCTTGCTAGCAAAGGCGTTGCTGATCTATCGGAATGTACTACTTTTGTTATGGACGAGGCGGACAAACTTCTTTCTCCCGAGTTCACTCCAGTTATTGAACAACTCTTGACCTTTCACCCTAAAGACCGCCAAGTTATGCTGTTTAGCGCCACTTTCCCGATTATCGTAAAGACTTTCAAGGTACGATACACGTCCATTTTCTTTATCACTTGTGGCAATCAACTAATACTAATACACATATTTCAGGACAAACACATGCGAAATCCTTATGAAATTAACCTCATGGACGAGCTCACCCTCCGAGGCATAACACAATATTATGCATTCGTCGAAGAGAGGCAAAAAGTCCATTGCTTGAACACTCTTTTCTCGAAACTCCAAATAAATCAGTCCATCATATTCTGCAATTCGACAAACCGCGTTGAGCTTCTCGCTAAGAAAATTACCGAACTTGGATACTCCTGCTTCTACTCTCATGCGCGCATGCTGCAACATAACCGAAACCGCGTGTTCCACGACTTCAGAAACGGCGTCTGTAGGAACCTCGTCTGTTCGGACCTGTTGACTCGTGGTATCGATATCCAGGCTGTGAACGTGGTTATCAACTTTGACTTCCCCAAGAATGCCGAAACATATTTGCACAGAATTGGTCGTTCCGGACGTTTTGGGCATCTTGGCTTGGCGATCAACCTGATTAACTGGGACGATCGATACAACTTGTACAAGATCGAACAGGAATTGGGAACTGAGATCCAGCCCATCCCTCCGTCCATCGATAAGAAATTATATGTTTACGAAACGCCAAATACCATTCCTCGCCCCATCTCCAACAACCCCTCAGAGGATCAAAAAGCAGCTGGCCAGGAAAACCAGCCTCGTCGACAAACCACCAACCCATCCAATGGCCATGGACAGTACAGCTCCGGCCGCGGGCATTACGGCCGCGGCTCGTATCGTGGCAGTCGTGGCTCCGGCCAGCGCTCAAACAACCCTGACAGCTCTAGAGCAGCCGGAAACCCACAAGCCAACGCTGCCAATTCAGGAACCCCTGGGTCCTAATCGAACGTGTTTGCTATGCATCTATTCGTTTATCTGCTTTCTTCTTGTTTTTCTTTTGTTTGTTATCACTCACGATCCTTTTAACGCTTACTCTCTCCCATCCTCCACAAACCCACCTCACTATACCCACCTTCCCCTCTTTTTTCAAGCAGTGCATCTTTTGTATTACACTGCTATCACCACCAGCACTACCAGCATCCAGAAAAAGAACCCCAGCCCTTTCTAATTTTTCATGCACCTTGCAGGATCTTCAATCCATGTTGATGCTGCAGGCATTGTATCATATTTTCCTCCTATCCCGGGCCACTCCAGTCTTCATGCTATTTCGGCATACAACAAGGCCCTTTGACATTGTTCTCGTCTTATCGGCGCTTACGTCACTTCCAGAGCCGATCTGCCTCCCTAATACACCTGTGACCCTTCTTGAGACACTACTTACCGGAATGTCGACCGTCGACCGCGTCTCTGACAAACCTTTTGAGAAATCAACATTTGAGGCTCCGTCAATGCTATACTTATACGATTCATCCCAGACTCAACATGCCTCTACCTAGGCACCATCTATTCCACCTTTCGCTTATCAAGGGTTCGTGCAGACCTACTTTCGCTATCATTCCGACCCTTGTGCGGACCATTTGATATCGAAGGCCAGTGGAAGGACAGCTCGCACACAGCGATAACGAACCAAAGCAAACCAAAAATTAAAATAAAAAAAGAAAAAAAAAAAGAAAAAGGAAACGCAATGAAAAAAGAAAAGACAGAAAAAAAGACCAAAAAAATATTCAGGGGTCACTACTTGATGTTAGCAGGGTTGCTCAACTTCATGGTGAATCCATGCTCTACTGTGTTCATCCCACTTGTACCCTAGATCACTGACATCTAGTCAATGCCATGTTTAGTTTCCTCTGAGTACTTCTTCTCCTAGCTGATCATCGCCCTGTAGATTCCATCACTGATTACAGATAAAAGTGCGGAGTATAAGGCAGCGTACCGTACTCTGTTGTGTAGATCCTGATACAGGCGACAACACACCTGCCGGTGCGAGGGCATTGTACCGCCCAATAGTTAGATATAGCTTATGGCCTCGCATCTATGCGGGCATGCAATTAGGTATTACCTATATACTACACGCTACATCAGTGTGTATAACTAATCAGCTACACTCCGGAGTTTGCTTTTTGGTTGGTTACGGCAAGCCAACTAGTTAGCGCGAGTCAAATTCGTCCATCACATCGAAAAGCTGGCAGCAGGCAAAAGCCGAAGAACATCCCACCAGACGCACCGGTCAATTGAGCAGCGATGGCGACCAAAGAGAACGACCAGAAGCCAAAGGTACGCCGTTTGTCTCTGTCCATAAGTGTCGACGTTATCAGCTAACTTCCAACGCACAGCCGAGCAGTCTGCGGTCCATCATCGCTGGCTCGACAGCTGGAGCTGTTGAGATCTGTACGTACCCTCCCCTTCTCCCTCTACCATCAACGCAATAGCTGCCTGAAGATGGCCTTGAAATACACTGCTAATACTTGCGATAGCAATCACTTATCCTGCCGAATGTATGCTATCACACCCTTCCCGAGTATAGATGCTGCTGCCCATGCATGATTGCTGACCGGACGCAACCCTTACGTATCACCGCAGTCGCGAAGACCAGAACCCAGCTCAACCGCCGATTAGCGGACGGCAAGAAATTACCATGGCCTCCGTTCGGACGGGCGTGGTATGCGGGATGCACGACGTTGATTATTGGTAACTCGATAAAGGCCGGCGTTCGTACGTTTAGCTCTCCGCGATGACACGGTTTCGGCTGGTTCACCACTTACCCTGACAACCTGATAGGTTTCGTCGCGTTCGATGCTTTCAAGTCCCTCTTACAAGATGAGAACGGAAAGATATCAGGCCCAAAGACTGTGATAGCCGGGTTCGGTGCTGGATTTACCGAGTCCCTCCTAGCAGTCACTCCGTTTGAGAGCATCAAGACACAGCTGTACGTCATACAACCACTTGGCCATCCTCCTGGGAATTAAATTTAAGGCTGTATGAATATGCTGACAATAAACAGCATTGATGATAGGAAATCTGCTAAACCACGAATGCGAGGCTTTTTGCATGGAAGTGCAGTTATATTCCGCGAGCGAGGCATCCGAGGCTTCTTCCAAGGATTTATACCCACAACTGCGCGACAAGCAGCTAATTCTGCGACGAGATTTGGAAGTTATACGACCATAAAACAGTTTGCGCAGGGTTACATAGCTCCCGGTGAGAAGCTTGGGACCCTGAGTACCTTTGCCATTGGTGGAATGGCTGGTCTTATCACAGTGTATGTGAATCGATATTTTTAAAAGGCAGTTCCAGAGCTAGAAAACTAACAATAATATTTAGCTACGTTACGCAGCCCCTAGATACTGTGAAGACACGGTAAGTCTATTCATATCCCCAGAGGCATTTGGAACCAATATATGCTAACATGGCGTAGAATGCAATCGCTGGAAGCAAGAAGTAGCTACAAGAACAGCTTTGACTGTGTGGCAAAGATATTGAAAAACGAGGGAATATTTACCTTTTGGTCTGGAGCCGTTCCACGTCTTGCTAGACTGGTGCTAAGCGGTGGCATCGTTTTCACTATGTAAGAACATCCATCAACCCCTCAACCCCTCTATGACCGTTACCATGAGACTAACATGTGGTTGAAAAGGTATGAGAAAACCATGGAGGGTCTTGATTTGCTGGATCCTGAAAGAAAGTACATCTAAATTTTTTATATTATGTTCCATGGCTGCGGTCCTGAATTGAGGAGGCTAGCTTGTTATACTGAAACAAATCTAGAGCTTCCGCTCGTGTATATTCTACGTATGAATAGAAAGACAAAGATAGACTGTTTATGTTTCCCTGTACGTACTCTACCTTAAAAATAAAGCCCAAATAGTGTAGGTTTGAAATCAAGATGCTGTATATGGGTATTATATATTTATTATACAGTGTCTATATCATTGTCTCGTTCTATACCATCAAGCAGTAGCTTTGCGAGACGATTTACCTTCAGCAGTGGCAGCTTGCTGCTCTAGACAAAGGGCCTCAACTTCCTGATCTACAAGCCAGCTCTGAACGCTCTCTATGATCTTCTCAAGGTTCTCACCTCCATCCATGACCTTGCCAATATTATGGACTGTCATGCCGCTCCGGTGGTCTGTACATCGACTCTGTGTGAAGTTGTATGTACGGATCTTATCTCCTCTGCCAGTCTTGTTGACGCCGCCCATGGCACCACGACGTAGTTCCATCATTTCCTGTTCTCTCGCCTCTCGTCTGGCTTGGGCTAACTTGGCTCTGAGCAACAGCCAGGCCTTCCTGCGATTCTCGTGCTGGGAACGGGAGTCCTGCATCGAGATGACTGTCCCGGTAGGAATATGTGTGAGCCGCACTGCGGACTCAGTCTTGTTGACATGCTGGCCACCAGCACCACTGGCTCGGAATTTCTCAGATTGCACATCTTGGGGGTTGACGTAGTAATCTGAATTCGGATCATCAAAGTTCAGGGGGCTGTCTTCTTGGTTGTTCTCGGGAAAACTGGGCAGTATCATAACGCTAACAGCACTCGTATGGGTTCGCCCCTTTGCCTCTGTGGCCGGCACTCGCTGAACACGATGCACTCCTGCCTCGGTCCGTAGTATATTATAGCTGCCAGGGGTTTCGACTTCCATCACCACTTCAGACAGACGCTCCTCTGCGCCCGCGCCGACTCCGTCCTCCGCCTCCATTTTTATGATTGTAGTTCTCAGGCCTCGGCTAGAGCAGAACGATGTATACATGCGGAGCATCTCCGCAGCAAATAGCCCTGCCTCGTCACCTCCCGCCCCCGGACGAATCTCAATCAGACACGGCATATCGGCAAAAGGATGTCGAGGGATCAAAGCCCGTTTTAATGTAGCGGATAAGGATGATAATGTCCCAATCGTTGTTGTTATATCATCTTCGGCGAGGGATTTAAGTTCCGTATCGGTAGACGGTTCATCTATCAGGCCTTGCAGCTCCGTTATGGACTGGAAAAGGGCAGTAAATTATATTAGATACCGGGTAGATTTTTCACATTTTAGTCGCATAGACCGGAGCATACCTCATGGGCTGTATCCCAGTCTTTTAATGCATTGGCAACTGGCGCAATCTCTCCTATCCGTTTTGCAGCAGCCCTCTCGAAGGACTCGGCCTGTTTTGCCGTGAGGGTAGCATGTTCCGCAGCTAAGGCTCTCGCTCTGTTTAGCAGGATAGGAGACAATTCAGCTTCTTTTGGGGTTACTATAGGTGCATGAGCTTCTAGTCGCTGTTATGGCACGGATATAAGAACGAGGCTTCGACGTACCTGCAGAGCTATATCGCCTAGACACTGGAACAATTCTGCTAGACTGCGCTAGCCGTACACTTCGTGAGAAACACCGCAGGCATGTCCATGTTGAGCTTCCTAGCATCACTCCAGGGGGCTATTATATCTTCCCTATATTGTGTTGCTCTGCCGTAAAAAATATCCCCAGCAATTGCTTCGTCCTTTTTTTTTTTTTTTTTAATTGCTTCTACTTCTTTCCGTTTTGGGACTTCCAGGAATTCGATATCACATGATCTCGGATAATTACATAACCCTTGCTCCCAAAGAGGACTAGCTCCGGGCGTCCGGCAATAAGTTCGGGTTAACTAAATGTCCGAAATGCCGATGAAGCCACCTTTTCCATTCTTACCCTTTTGGGACGCCTCTTGAAGATAATATGAAAGTTGCCACGAAAGCGTCGTCGTCTTTTTTCCTTCAAACTGTTTAACTTGTCAGTCGTTTGGGTTATTGAGTCTTGCTTGTGGCGTATTGCGCTGGTATATTTTGCTTGTCCCGGCCGCTTGGTGGGAGTTCTCGTTTGGTCTGCTTTGTTCTCTTATCACGCACCGCTATCATGATCGTTCGATTCCGGACGGTCGCCTTCCTGCTGGCCGTTATTTCATCTGCAAACGGCCTGAAGCCTTCAGATATCCCACCTGATACGCCGGTCTCCTCGCTGCTATCCTCTGCAAAGACCCATCTCGCCAGTGGCTCCCCCGAAGATGCGCTCCTCTACTTCAACGCCGCCATCGACAAGGACCCCTCGAACTACCTATCCATCTTCCAGCGCGGAGCTGCCTATCTATCCCTTGGAAGACACTCTCGCGCCGCAGATGATTTTAACAAGGTTCTCAAGCTTAAGCCAGGCTTCGAGGGGGCACTCTTGCAGCGTGGAAAGCTACGGATGAGATCTGGCAACTGGACCGGGGCTAAGGAAGACCTCCAGGCTGCAGGCAAGCCAGGTGAGGGCGACCTCGTTCAGCTCCATGAGGCTCACGTTGCTGCGGTCGCTGCAGAGGAGGCAGAAAAGAAACAGGACTGGGAAACATGCGTGGCTCAATCAAATATCGCCATTACGAAGGCCATGGGCTCCCCCGAGCTTCGACGGACGCGAGGAAAGTGCCATTTCGAGAGAGGAGACATTCAGGAGGGGATCAATGACCTGACCAGGCTTACGCAGCTTTCTCCGAACAATGTTGACCCTCATCTCCAGGTTTCGGCGATGCTCTTTTACTCTCTAGCGGACACCGAACGCGGAATGGACCAGATTCGAAAGTGTCTTCACTCCGACCCTGACTCTAAGATTTGCAGCCGTTTGTTCAGAGGCGAAAAGAGGAATTCCAAGCAACTTAAGAACCTCGACAAGTTGCTGGAAACACGGAAATTCCACAAGGCCGCTGAGCTCCTGGTAGGGACCAAGGGCGAAACTGGATTGCTGGAGGACATTCAGCAAGACGTCAAGTCTGCCCAGGAAGATGGATATATTCATCCCAAGGCTCCCAACAATCTCTATCATTCCTTGGTGGAGAAAACGTGCGAGACATATAGAGCTGTATGTAGTTCTTTGCCCTTGTGTCATTTTCTGAAAGAACAACCTACTAACCGTTGACTAGATGAACTCCAAGCGAAAAGCGCGGCCATACTGTAGCCAGTGTCTTGAATTCAACCCTTCATCACTCCATGGTCTCCTGTCCAAGGCGGAAGAACAAATAGATGCCGAGCAATACGAAGCTGCCACCCAGACGCTGAAAACTGCGGATGAGCACCACTCCGGCTCTCAGGAGATTCATACGCTCATGCAAAAGGCACAAACACTACTGAAACGATCGAAACAAAAGGATTATTACAAGGTTCTGGGGGTTGACCGTGATGCAGATGAGGCCACAATTAAACGGGCTTACCGCAAGCTCACAAAGAAATTCCATCCCGACAAGGCGCGCAGCCAGGGCATACCCAAGGAGGAAGCCGAGAAGAAAATGGCGAGCATCAATGAAGCCTACGAAGTTCTCTCTGACCCCGAGTTAAGGCGGCGATTTGGCCATGGTGATGACCCTAATGACCCCCATGGAGGCCAGCCACACTTCAACCCCTTTGCTGGCGGACACGGAGGATCTCCGTTCTTCTTCCAACAGGGTGCTGGAAACCATCACTTCAAGTTCACACAAGGAGGCTTCGACTTCCAAGGGGGCTTCCCCTTCTAGGCTTTGTTTCCCCTTGCTAATGATTTATTTTAACCGCATATTTACTTCTAAAACTCTTCGCTTGTTTTTTTTACTGGCCCTTTTCCTCTGGTTAAACGACATGCATCCTATTCATTTTGAGCCGGACTTACTATCACTTGACCGTCCTGTATTCTTTTTCTTCTTCTTTAGATTATTACTAGATTTTTCTAATGGAAAAGTGAAGTCTGATTGATACATAATCTTTCATTTGCCTAATGGGTATTTTGGCTGACAGATTCATTCTCATTGGGAGAACCACTTTACAGCTGATTGAATACAGATAAATAGGCTTAATCAGGGATAAATGTGAAGGAATAATGCAAGTCGAACCCCTACGTGTCCTAGTCCTGCAATTAAATTACCGTGTGATCCAGCTATTCCTCGGGTGCATCCGTTAGAGGAACATAGCTGACGCCGAAAACTTTTTTCTTGTTCACAGAGCCATCTTCCGCCTTATCCACAATCCACACATGTTGTCCTTGATATCCCAACATACCAGTGGTAGGTTCAGCATCGACTGGGATGAACATCCGGCCCGGCGCTCGCAGTTGATCTATCAGGTCTGAATGCATCGTTGCTGCTGCTGCACCAACGTGGATGGCATCGTAGGGTCCGCCTTCAGCCCAGCCTTTGCGCCCATCACCCTTCACGATTTTGATCTTTCCGGAGTCGAGCAATTTGCGACCTTCTTCCGACTTGGCTAAGTTCTTTAGGGACAAGTCAACGAGGCCCTGGATGTGGTCGATGCCAACAACACAGCCATCTGAAGCAGGGGCATCCGTGATCAGCTCGGCGAAGACATGGCTGAGGTATCCCGAGCCGCAGCCAATGTCAAGAACCCGAGCACCGGGACGGAGGAAAGGTAGCAGATATTCGCAGGCATGCGCGTGCATGTGCGGGGCAGAGATGGTCGCTGCGTATCCAATTGACTGGGGAGAATCACTGTAGGGATTGGAGGGGGAATAATGACCACGGTCAACCTGGCGCCGGGAATAATGTTAGTTTGCTGTACCGACAACAACAAGCAAATTGCTTGACAGATCTTCTTTACTTACCTTCAACATTGCATTTTTCACTCTTTCACTCCTAATGAGGTCGGCAGTGAAGAGGCTTTCGATCAACTGAATGTTGGACCTACCAGTACACTGCCACGCCATGGTTGCAGGTTTCCTATCGAAGAAACAGTCTGTTATGTATTGTGAGATTGCGTGATAGCTCTCACAAACGAATGCTGAAGGCAAATGAAGATGCTGGCTTGAGAGACCGAGGAAGCTAATGGCGATAGCGACGGTAGCAACCAAGACACCGATCAAACAAATACCGCGATCACCCAAATGGCGCTGCACCTTACCGTCGCCTTTAAAGAAATGGATTTCGAGAGAAAGAGCAACGAACGGCTTTGCTCCACCAGGGATAGACAAGCTAGCAGTGCGAGTGGGGACCCCTCGGGTGATTTAGATCAACCCAGCTTATCCGGATGTAATAGTAGTAGTTTGTTTGGGCACAGCCGACTGTAGGAAGTAAGGTCTGCCGATGGTTTTGTATGAACATCAGTATCCCAGGCTGCCAAAGGTCAAATGGTGTGTGTTGTGGGAAGAGGAGTTGCAGAGAAGCTGGTGGGAAGGGAACACAGATATGGTGAGCAAGGCGACCCGTGACGTCATTCGCGGCCCGGTTGGGCGCCGAAGCTGAAGCTATCGATAAGGTATAAAAAAATAAGGGCAACTCGAATAGAACGAGCAGTTAGATAAGTTTCACCTCGTCGCCGGCATCGCATGCAGTGTCGTCGTTATCGTCGCCCTGGGCCGAGTGATGTTCCAGGTTCTCGGGGTCTTCTCCGCCCCAGGGGAGGTCAGCGCCCTGAGGGTTGTTGAAGAAGTCGTGATATAACGCTCCCTCTGCACTCCACCTCATTATCGCGCTCGGCTCGAGTATCTTCTCCAAGAGATTTACTGCTTGAAGCTCTCTGCCGGTCAGTTCGACGACAGAGCTCGACCACCGTATGATTCGTTCCAAAGAGTGGCCCTTTGGTAATATTGTAGGGATGGTGGTATCAAACACCAAGCCGTGTTCTGCTGCTGTCAGTTGCATCTTATTCTTTCCGAAGATGCTTGCGATCTCAATGAGAGCATCGGCATCATCCATTGAGTGAAAGAATGGGAAGCGTCTGGCTAGGAATGTCAGGAGAATCACGCCGACCGACCACACATCAAGCTTGGTGGTTTGGCTAGTACATTTGAAGAGGACTTCCGGAGCGCGGAATCCGCGAGTTCCCGCTCGATTGGCTCGCCGAGAAGGCCTGGTATCATTTCTTGGATATCCGACAGGAGCTTGTTTGGAGTAGCGGATGGAGTCCATTATCTGATCATGTTTAGGTGCGAAAGCGCGTGTGCGGGCAGTACTGCACATGCAGGTCCCACCCTCATTTTCATACTGTGCAGTGGATGCGTCAGTACCACGGCGGCTATTTGTAAAAACACTAGCGTTGTGTACTCACCTCTGCAAGGCCAAAATCCACCAAGACTCCACGGCGAAGCTTTGGATTATACAAGAAGTTCCTATAGGGGCAACTGTCAGCTCGGGAATTGAAAAGGGCTGACATGGAAGAACAAGAGGTACAAACGTAGGTTTGATGTCTCTGTGAATGACCCCCAGTTTATGCACAAAAGCAAGGCCTTCCAGGAGAGACTTGAAGTAGTGCCGCATATCCTCAACGAGAAAAGTACGGAACATCAAGCGAAAGTCTGTGTGGGGGAAATATGGCAGGACAGCAATGACCTGATCATCAAGCCGGAATGCGGCTTTGATATGGCACACAGCGGGGTGCCCACGCAGGTCATGGAGAATCTCCAACTCGTTCAAAATCCGGGCAGGGCTGCTGATGACATATATCTTTTTGAGGGCAACGTATTGCTTCTTCATTCCACGGAGAGTCTTGCTCGGGTCCAGCAGATCGGCCTGGAATGCACCTTCGTTCCAGGTCAGATCCTGTGCCTTGTATACTGTAGAGAATGTACCTAATTGTGATGTGTGAGCCTCCATTAGCATCTGCATATCTCCCTACATGGCCATATAGGGGCGAGCTACTCACCCTCTCCGACGCGGTTAATGAGTCTGAATTTTCCACGCAGTATTGCCTCGTCCTGCAGCTTCCTCATGTCTTCCAGGACAGCCTCGTCCTGCTCTTCATGCTCGCTCTCGGTGTCGGCTTCGTCCGTTGGTATGTAGTCATCCTCCTGCGCAGTATCGTCCTCCTCATAGTCGAGCGAACGCGTCTCGTCGTCCCAGCAGTCGCTCATCTCATCTTTCCCGGTCTCCTGCGCGAGGGGCGAGTGATTGCTCGCCGCGTAGTCCGACATGGTTCCACCGGGTATCAGAGCAGTTTCAAAGTGGTGGTTGACGGCCTCGCAGTTGTCAGCGTCAAAAAGATTTGAACTTCGGCGTCAACACGACGATGTTTTTTTTCTTTCTTTTTGATAGACCGAAGTAGTGTATTGATAGCGTACCAGATAGTGTATTTTATGTTAATCTGCGGGCCGCTTTTATTAATTACCGTCACGCGTTACACCACCGCAGTTTGTCCCGAAACGGCAAAAAGCAAACAAAACATCAGCTTCGTCGACTTCTTCAAGTCCTTTTGCGCTTTTCGCAATTCGCAATTATTTTATACAGCACGAGCTGAGTGTCTGCGGCGTCTGGATACGCCAGATAGATGTCGACGAGCCGGCCACGATGAACGAACGGATAGATTTCGACCTCAACGAGGCGCTGAAATACTACCTGAGCGACCCCGCCTCAGTCCCGACACCAGAGGCGGATTCACAGTTGCTAGACTGCGAATTGGATCCGGATTCCTTGAGCCTGCCGCTGATCGATGAGATACTGAATCCTATTGTAGACGCTGTGGCCGAAGATCCCTCAAATCTCGCAAGAAACTCGTTCTTTGATTCCCTGCAGCTTCTCTTGAAGTGAGTGACGGGTTGTAGACACATACACCATTTGACCGGGTTCTAACTGCTGGACTCCTAGGCTTACACCTGTCCTTCCTCCAAAGGCGCTTAGCAAGATCCTAGATCTTGTTGTTTCCGGCCTCGCCTCGCTTGCCGATATTGCGCATAATGACCTCGAAGCCGATGAGCCCGAGGCGCTGTCTGAGCATAAGGACCTCTTGGAGCTGTACGCTTTTCTACTACAATGGGCGTTATCTTCCGTGGAAGCAAAGGCAGCCGAAAAACCTCCTACAACGGGACCGGGAAGACGAGGAGGTGGGAAGGCTGGACGAAAGCCCGCTAGGGATGAGTCGTGGGATTCGTCTGCACAGATACAGATTGCTATGGAGGTTATGTGCAAGGTGCTGAAGCTGAAGCTATCAAAGCTCTTTGTTACAACCTCGGACCGGGATACCTTTGTGAATCTGTTTACTCGATCCATATACCTGATCCTGGAGAGCGAGCAGAGAGTCAAGAGCATGTCAATACGGATGCACGCATTCAAGGTGCTCTGTATTGCAGTGAAGCATCATGGGCATGCTTTTGGTAGGTTCTACTACGAATGTGCCTTTGTGGTAAAGTGGCTAACACTGTATCAGGTGCCCAGACATCTATTGTACAGAGCCTTACATATTTTGAGCATCTTTCGGACCCGATGGCCGAATTTTTGCATATCCTGGCGGAGCAGTATGACTATCCTCAGCTCGCTGACGAGATTCTAAGGTATACTTTCCTGATGTCTCTACGAACGGGTCTTAGCTCTAACTCCATTATAGGGAGGTTGGAAATAAGGAGTTCAATCCAAACGATACTAAGGGCCCGAGATCAGTGTCCGCTTTTATTATTAAGTTGTCTGAGCTTGCTCCTCGGCTTGTCATCAAGCAAATGACCCTCCTAGCCAAGCAGCTAGATAGTGAAGTACGTCTCGTGTATTCATAGCAACGTACATTTACTGACAATTGCCAGGCTTATACCCTCCGCTGCGCCGTCATCGAAGTATGCGGAAATCTGATATCTGACCTGAGTAAGCAGGAAGAACGAAGTGAAAACTTCCAAACACAGATAAATTCCTTCTTTGATGTGCTGGAGGAACGCTTCCTTGACATGAACCCCTACTGCCGCAGCCGTGTGATACAGGTGTACATGAAGATTTGCGACCTCGACCAGAAGTTTCCCAAAAGACGGCAGACAGCAGCCAAGCTTGCAGCTCGAAGCTTGGAAGATAAGAGCAGCAATGTCCGAAGGAATGCTATAAAACTTCTGGGCAAGCTGGTGTCAACACACCCTTTCAGTGTTATGCATGGAGGCCAGCTGTCGTACAAAGATTGGGATGCTCGTTTACAGGCAGTAGAGGAGGAACTCAACGCCTTGAAGCCACCACCAGAGACACCTGGATTGGCAGAGATGGGGATTGAGAGCGCCCAGATCGACAGCGAGCTTCTGGACGATGCAACCCAGGTCCCAGACGACTCCCCTTCGAAGGCTCCAAAAATGACTGAAGAAGAAAAAGCGGCAGCGGTTCAGAAAGCAGCAGAGGAAGCAGCAACATCAGAGATGCTGGCACGGCTGCAGCTAACCCGGAAATACTACCTCGAGGCCATTCAGTTTATCGAGGTGTTGCACAGTGCGTCCGAGACCGTCCTGCAACTGCTGTCGTCTCGGAATAAGAGCGAGGTGATTGAGGCTATGGACTTTTTTGTGATGCTAGATGCGTACAAAGTGGAAACCTCGCGAGCTGGGATACGCAGGATGCTACGGCTGATTTGGATGAAGGGTAACAGCGACGAAGGCAAGGGCGTTCAGAACCATCTAATCGATTGCTACAAGGGACTGTTCTTTGATGCGCCGGATGCATTCAGTCCGAATGACACGGCCAACTACATCGCCCGAAACATGATAAGTCTGACGTTTGGGGCGACGCCGGCAGAGCTCACCTCGCTCGAGCAGCTGCTCAGCACAATGGTGAAGGCAGGGCACATCTCAGAGCTGGTGATCGGCAAGCTATGGCAGGTGTATGGGGTACAGAAGAAGGAAATATCAAGAACACAGCGAAGGGGGGCCATTATCGTGCTGGGGATGCTTGCGCTTGCCGACCCGGAGATTGCAGTCAAGGAGATCGAGATTATGCTCCGGATAGGGCTGGGCAGCCTGGGACGGGCTGATCTTGTCCTTGCCAAATACACATGTATTGCCCTAAAGCGGATCAAGCCTGGACGGCAAGCCATTGCAAAGGATGGGGCACACCCAAAACTGGCAAACGACCACCCGGTGTTGATCAAGCTGGCTGCGATGATGGAGATTGTGTCTGACAGCAAGGAGTGGTATGGGGTGGCAGAGCAAGCCATAAGCGCGATATACACGCTAGCAAAACATCCTGATGTGCTGTGCTCGGATATACTACGGCGCAAGACCCGGGCCGTCTTCCGGGCGAACAATAATGCCCAGCAAAGGATGATGCTGGACAGCGATGGAGACCGTCCGTCATCATCATCGGCATCCTCGGCATCGGCAGAGACTGCAGTGACTGCAGCCACGACTCTGGCGGAAGACAACAACGCGGCTAGACAAAAGGCTAGTGTTAACGGGCTTTCGCAGCTGCTGATTATTGTTGGCCACATCGCGATCAAGCAGATTGTGCATCTGGAGCTATGCGAGCTTGACTTTAAGCGCAGGAAGGCCGAACAAGAAAAGGAGAAGGCGGCCAACACAGCTCAGGAGAAAGATGACGCAGCCGGAGCAGGAGCAGCAGCAGGGGGCCCAGCAGGAGGAGCAGCAGCCGAGGACAACGAGCTGGACCTGATCGGGGGTACGACAGAGGACGACTTCACTGAGGCGATGGCACATATCCGGGAGCGAGAGCTGCTGTACGGGGAGAACTCGCTGCTGACGCACTTTGGCCCGCTGGTGACGGAGATATGTTCAAACAACACGGCGTACCCGGACCAGAACCTGCAGGCGACGGCGACGCTGTGCATGGCGAAGCTGATGTGCGTGTCAGCAGAGTACTGCGAGAGCAACCTGCCGCTGCTGATCACGATAATGGAGCGGTCTGACGACCCGATCGTGCGGAGCAACGCGGTGATTGCGCTGGGCGACATGGCCGTGTGCTTCAACCATTTGATCGATGAGAATACAGACTTTTTGTACCGACGACTGAACGACGACGATGTTTCGGTGAAGCGGACGTGTCTGATGACGCTTACCTTTTTGATACTGGCGGGCCAGATCAAGGTGAAGGGCCAGCTGGGAGAGATGGCGAAGTGCCTGGAGGACGAGGACAAGAAGATAGCGGATCTGGCGCGGATGTTCTTTACGGAGCTGTCGACGAAGGACAATGCGGTGTACAACCACTTTGTGGACATGTTTAGTCTGCTGAGCACGGAGAAGTCGCTGGAGGAGGAGTCTTTGCGGCGGATCATCAAGTTCCTCGCCGGTTTCGTCGAGAAGGTATTTTTCTATTCTTATTCTTTTGTCTGGAAATATAAAATATATACTAATAAGGTCTAGGACAAACATGCGAGACAGCTGGCGGACAAGCTGGCGGCGAGACTGGCGCGGTGCGAGACGGAGAAGCAGTGGAACGACGTGGCGTATGCGCTGAGCCTGCTACCGCATAAGAACGAGGAGATCAGCAAGACGGTGGCCGCGGGGTTCAAAGTCGTGCAAGCAGCTTCATAGTACTAGTAGACGAGATAATCGTATATAGTTTGTTTTTCTGTATAGTACGTAGTAAGTGGTAGTAGTAAGCAGTGAGAGAGCCTGGAGGATGAAGGTTTGATGGACGGGCCGGGCCAGGCGGCTCTTCAGCCTCAACGACACTGAACTATAACTATAACTTAACTCATTGAACGAACGACCAAAAGAACGACTTTTATAACTGGAGTAACTGTGTAACTGCAGATGGTAATGCGACCTGTACAATGCACCGACGACAACGACGACGACAACGACAACAACGACAACTATATAAGTAGATGAACGAAGCGAACCTGCGCCCGAGCCCGGATTAAAGGGAGTATACAAGAAGTACGTCGAAAGTCAAGAAAAAAGTAGTAGTTAGTTTTTTATCGAGCAAACTCGCCCGAGGGAGTCAGCTTCTCGTCCAGGTCAAAGAGATCACGATGTAAGTTGTCCAGTGCCTTGCGACCGTCGTCCGTCAGATGCGGTCTGCCAGGCTGGATATGCTGTTCTGCGACGGTAAAGAACCTGGGGGTCCACTCGTGGTTGTTCTCCTTGCGCAAGGCGGCCTTGGAGCGCTGGGACTCTTCGAGCTCGTGTTTCAGCCTGGTGGCAAGGGAGTACTGCTTGGCGTTGATGGCGGCGGTGATGTCTGCCCAGAGCCGACGGGATTCGTAGGCGAGCTGCTTTTCGGGGGGAGGGGTGATTTTGGCCGCGGGGAAGAGCGGCGTGACGTCGATGAGCAGCTGTTTATCCTTTGGGTTGGAGGGCAGGTTGAAGTATATGCGTTCGTGCCAGGAGCCGGAGATCTCAGCTAGGAGGTGTGTCGCGGGGATGTCCTTGATACGAGTGATGCAGTCGTTGTCAGGATCGTATCTGAACACGGCTCCGGTGACACGATGCTGGGCTTTACTGAGCCATCCGTCCTCGAGGTACTGCAGGATGGCCTTTATCCTGGTGCGTGGACAGGTGATGTAGCAGGTATCAGCGACGGAGACCGAGAGGGCACCACGCAGGAGACCGCCTAGATGGGCGTCTGGGTGGGTGAGCCGGTACTCTTCGTTGTCGCGGCGGGCGAGGGTGATGAAGATGCCGAGGTTATGCTGTCCCGGGGTGATGCGGACTGAGGTGCCTGTGAACTTGGCGCTGATCTGGTCGAACCCGCGGGCGGTGATGCCACGTTGGGGGCAGTCTACCCAGAAAGCGGAGACGGGGGGGTGGTGGGAAGTCTGTTCGGTGATGTAGGATATCTTGACTGTCTCGGCAGAAGGAGAAGAAGAAGAAGTGGTGGTGGTAGTAGTAGTGGCAGAGGTGGATGCGATGGACGGGGCGGCGGAGTTGGACTTGGAGTTGGAGCTGGACTCTGGCTTGGCCGGGGGAAGCGAGACTGCAGCTTCGGTATCTTTGACCTCCCAGTTGCACTACATAGTTACTTGTCAGTAGCAGTAATTTGTATGAAAGTGATAGATGGATGCTCACCCTGAAGAACTCTCCGAGGACCGAGTTGTAAGGCTTGCAGGGCTTCCCTTTGACGTATTTCTTCTCAATTGGCAGACAAGTAAGTAAATAAGTAGAAAACAGGAGAAGACCTACCAGGTCCTTGGTGAACCAGAAGCGCAGGACCTCGAGCATGCGCCCCAGCTCGTCATCCGACTTTCCTATGCTACTCATCTTAGCATCTAATAAAGTAAAACGACTAAAAGATCTCACCTGGCAAAGCTCTCTGGCCTGTCGAGGTAGTTCCAGTACTCTATCCATAAGTAAGTATGTATATATATATATATATATATATAAGTATAAAAGTGAGGAGACTGACCGAGATTTGGAATGGGCTCGAGGAGCTGTGCCGGCAAGGAAAAGCGCACCGAGGCGATGTCCGAGACCCCGATGAAGCTATCACTGTCAGTATCTTTATCTTTATCTCTTTATATCTGTTGTGGGAATGCCTACTTGCGGAGGATGGAGAGAAAGGCGCGCAGCTTGGAGGAGTCGTCGACCGGCTTATCTGGGAGGTCGGTCGTCGGGGGAGTCGAAGTCGAAGTCGTTGAAGTCGTTGAAGTCGCAGCATCACCACCACCACCACTGCCACCACCACCACCGACCAGAGAGTCGTCCTTGGGCATCTTCGAGTCTGCAGAGGAAGAGACACTCGACATGAGTAGAAGAAGAAGAAGTAAAAGAAGTAGAAGAAGAAGAGAAGTCTAGGAGGCCGACTGGGAAGAGGCGGTGACGTCGGTCTCCATCTAGTAGAAGTAAAGATGGAAGATGGAAGATAGACGGTAGTAATAAGATAGTCACAGAGATAAAAAGATAAAAAGATGAAACAGAAGAAGATGAAGATGAAGATGAAGATCTCTTGTCTCCTGTCTCTTGTCTCTTGTCTTCCAACTGTCTATCCTTGATGTCTCCTTGACTAGTTAAGTAGATGTGCCTATCGATAAGGTCATCACCAACAGTAACCAAAAGAGAAGAAGAAGACAGAAGAAAAGAAGAAGACAAGACTCTCCTGATCTCTTACTCTTTTACTCTCTTACTCTACTTCTATCTCTCTTCTACCACTTCTATCTCTTCTATCTTTCTGTCCTTCTGACTCTCTTCTTCTTCTCTTCCTGTCCAATCAGAAGTGCACGAGGAAGTCAACCTTACTTAAGCAGAGATAATAGTTAACTAGAGAAGAAGAGGAAGAGAGATAGATGGAGAGAGAGAGAGAGAGAGAGAGAGATAACTAAAGATGACAGTCGTGGAGATACCCCAAAAGAAGGACAGTAAGAAGAAGAAGATGATGATGATGATGACGATGACTGGTTAACTGGCTCTCGTCGACGACAAGACAGCCAGCAGACAGTCTATAAAAGGGGGGGGGCTTCTCCCCTCCCCCTCCTTCTCTTCCTCTCTTCTTCTTCTTCTTCTTTTCTCTTCTTTTCTTTCTCTTCTCTTCTCTCCACCAACTATCCTCACCACCTGGCCGAGCCCCGGCGGTGGTGGTGAGGATAGCATTCTTCGGGGTGGTGGACGATGGAGAGAGTCGAAGAGGGTTGATATGATGGTTGACCCTTTCTCGTGTCTATCTATATATCTATATATTAGATATATATATATACATATATATATAAAGGTCAGTTTGATACTGGATACTGGATGCTGGATACCCTGAGGAACCCTTGACTGACTGAAGATAGAAGATGGACAGAGATTCAAGACAGTTCTCGACAGGTCAGTCTCTTCTTCTTCTTCTCTTCTTCTTCTTCTCTTCTCTTCTTCTTCTTACTGGGACTTGCCGAGTCTGGTCTTCAGTCAGTGAATGATGTCCTGCTCTGATGGCTTCCACTCACTTCTCTCTCCTGTCTGTCTGTCTGTGTTGCTGCTTGCTGCTTGCTGTCCTCCCGTCTTCACTTCTGGACTTGCTCTCTCTCTCTCTCTCTTCAACATATAAATACCCCTTTCTTCGTCTTCCTCTTCCTCTTCCTCTCTCTTCTTCTTTTCTTCGTCTGCCTACGCCTCTTCATCTCGACTTGACTCGTCTTGACTTGCTCACCACTACCATCTACTACCACTTCTACTTCCACTACTTCATCTAATGGACAGACAGTGCCAGTTCGACGAGTCCTGCTCGACAGGCTCCTCCCACTACCGCAAGGTCATCTCCCACATCTTCGGGAGGAACAAGAAGTGCACCGTCAACATCCCCGACGCCGTCTGGATCTACTACTGCCGCAAGCACTACCAGCGGGCCAGATACCGCAACGACGAGTGGCCCTTCACCCAGTGTCGTCTCGCCCTCGACACCATCGCCAACATGCAGGCCTGGGGTGGGGTCGAGTCCTTTGATCTCACTCTCAGACGCAGAGAGAGACTCCCTCCAACTACCACTACTACTACTACTACTTCTCCTGCTGCAACTTCTACTTCTTCCAAAAAGTCACCAAAGAACATCCCTCGGCCGGTCCCGGACTGGCTCCACGACTGCGTGGGGCCCAACAAGTCCTTTGACGAGATCAGACAGCTCATCAACGACCTCCGACTACATTTTCTCTCTTTGGTCCAGAACAACCAGGAACCCTTCTTCCCTGACATCGAGATACTTCCAAACTTACGACGGTCATCCAAAAAGCCAGCCAAACAAGACAATTAATCACCTTTACTTCTTCTTTTCTTTTCTTCTTCTTTTCTACTCTGCTTGATACCCGTTTGATATCGTTTGATACTGTTCCGTTTGTCACTCCCAATCTGTTTGTCCTTTGTCTCTCTTACTTTAAGACTGAATGATAATCATTGCATTCTCTCTCTACTATACATAATATATCCTACAAGTAAAGTATTACCAAGAATAGTACTGGCTCTGCCCTGTAACCCGCCGGTCAGGCATCTGCACCCACAACTTCTCCCTTCTCTCCCTCAGTGCCTTCTCCGTCCGATCCCGCCACTCCCTCACCCGCGTCTTCTCCTCCTTCAACACCACCGCCAACGCAGTGTACGGTGGGCGCAGCCTATTAATCTGTCCCCTCGCCCGGTGGTCAAAGTCCACTCCATAAGGGCCCCGGTTCACCCACGCCTGGTCAACATATATCTCCCTCTCATCCCGGACAGTATACCTCTTGCCATCCTTCAACTTGATCTCCACCTCTTGACCCCTATCTCCATCAGCCTCCGACTTAATCCCCATCCCTCGACTAACAATAGCCTCATTCCTCGCCTGCTCAAGAAACGCCAACACATCCCTCGCCGCCTTCTTCTTACTATATCTCATCTGCATAATCGCATCCTCGACTTTCTTGCCTGCAATCTGTCTTGCAAGCGGACCCAACTTCTTCACCGACGTCTTGAACCAGTGCGATCGACTCTGCAGCTCTCGCTCACTCTGCTGAATCACTTCTTCCCGCGTAAGTTGGCCGCGGTTCTTGACGGCTCGGATGACCATCTTCCTCTCCCATCGGGCTCGTCGTTCAGGATGCGGTATCAGAGTACGTGATATCGTGTCTCGGTTCCGGTCGACGAGAGCAGTAGAGTGCTCTGCATCTTGGGTAGCAGCAGCATCTTCTTTCTTCGGGGGCCGTTTAGGCGTGGGACCGGATGTCGATACCTCGCCGTCGGAAAAGATAGAGCCGGTTCCAAGGGATCCCTTTTTCACGGCTGGAGGACGGTGAGAGATTCTGGCTGATGATAGATCTGCTGACGAGAAGCGCTCGACTTTATCATCGTTGTTGTTGCTATTGCTGTTGCTGCCCATTAGAGACTCCCGGAGGAAGTGCAGATGGGCTGTTGAGCTCATGCTCCGACGGGACATGCCTGGCCAGTTAGTACTACATCTAACATCTAACATAATATTAAGATGAAGACTCACTCGAGAAGAGCTGCCGCGAGGCAAAGGCTGTGCTGACGGCCACCATCGTGCTTCGTCGTGGCTCAATGGCTTTCTTCTCTCTCTTTCTTCTCTCTCTTCTTCTCGTCGTCGTTTCTTTCTATCAAAAATCGAGATGATTTTTGATGCTTTGACGCTTTACTCTTTTAAGGTTGCACGTGATATAGCTGACTAAGAAAGATAAAGACTAAAGTTTATTTTTATCAAACGCTGACATCAACATCACGTCTATACAGTGAGAGGTAGCAGTAATAGTAGCAACAATAATTACTCCGTAATAGTGGGAATGGTTCAATCGTCGTGCTTCCGCTTAAATCTCGCGCCCTTCGGCTGGCTGCCATACGTCCGTCGTGCCTGCACCTTCTTGTCCCGGCTCATGCTCGCTCCCAGCGTAATGTCCACCCGCGGCGGCGTAGTAAAGCCGTAGCTCTTGGCCACCTTGACCAGGTCCAGCTTGTTCACGTCAAACACAGACCGCAGAGAGTGCGATGCATACGCATGCAGATACGACCTGTACCCTTCTTTCGCAGACTACACAATTAGCATCACCCCATATAAACAGAGATACAGAGATAAGAGGATTACCTGGTTGAGGTAGTAGTTCTGGCTGATCAGCTTCTCCAGCTGCGACTGGATGTTGATAATGTGCTTGGTAGGAAACTCAAACTCTACCACAGGCACCCGAGCCTCTCTCAGATGGTTGATGAAGCCTACCTCCGATGGCTGCAGAAACATCAAGCTTCGCCCAACCTTGCCCTTGCCTCGGGCCGTTCGGCCGACTCTGTGGATATAGTCTCGCGGCTGACCGGTTAGTCATATACAAACATATAAATATATATAAAAGACGCAAAAAGACTTACGTCGTCAGGCGGATCAAGTTGCACAATGTAGTCCACTGCCGGAATATCTAGGCCTCTGGCAGCAACGTCGGTACAGATAAGTGTGCCCTGTGCCGAGTTGCAGAACTCAAAAAACGTGTTCGTTCGCTTCTGCTGCTTCAGCTTCCCGTGCAGACTGAGCACCGGCAAATCGATATAATTCAGCAGCTCAGAGTAGTACTTGACGGAGTTGCAGCTGGAAAAGAAGACAATAATCTTCTTCTTCGCGTTTTTCTTCAGGAACGAGAACAGCAGCAGGAACCGCTTGTGGGCTTCGCAGATTATAAATCCCTGCTCCACCCCGTCGACCGTGCTGTGCTCCTTCTTGTGGTCGACGTTGATGTACAGCGGGCCAGGCTTCAGGGATATGCGTGCGAGATCCTCCACTTTGGTCGTCTGGGTTGCGGAGAACAGCATCGTCTGTCTGTCCTCCTTGGGCAGGATCGATATGATCTGTCGTAGCTCGTCTTCGAATCCGACTTCGAGAATTCTATAACATATTAGCATCCACTCACAGCATATACTTTGAACTTGTCTTGTGCCTACCGGTCCGCCTCGTCAATGACAAGAGTCTTCAGGTTCTTAAAGACAAACCCCTCCGTCGACCGCAGATGGTCCAGCAGCCGCCCGGGAGTCCCAATCAGCACATTAACGCCCTTGTTCAGCTTCTCCGCCTCAGCACGCCTGTTTGCACCGCCAATCACCACCCCATACGTCTGCGAATGGTGCTCCATCAGCTCCCTCGCAACGCCAAAGATCTGTAGCGCCAGCTCTCGCGTCGGTGTAATAATAAGCGCACCAGTCCCTACACACCGTTCCGTTAGCCAAGCATGCCCCCAATCACCCTATATATTTTATGAGCCGAAAGATTTTATGATCTCACCATTTCTAGGCTTAAACTTCAACGACCGCAATATCTCCACGGCAGGTATCAAAAACGCCAACGTCTTTCCCGACCCCGTCTTCGCTGCGCCCAGTATATCCCGGCCCGCCAACGAAGGCGGAATACCTCGCTGCTGTATCTCGGTCATGGTCGTAAAGCCCATGCCGGCAATCGCCTTGACCGTTGGCTCTGACAGCGAAAGGTCGCTGAATTTATTCGACACGGCCTCCTGTGTAGGAAGCGCCATTGTATCCGCGGACGGCAGGGCAGGTACATCCTTTCCGGCCTCAACGCCATTCTCAATGTGTTCGCCATCAAGCTGCTCGCCATCGTCGTCGTGCTGGTCGACTTTTTGCTTCTTGGTAGGCGTTTGTGATTCTGCTTCTACCGCCTCTGGCTCTTGCTGGTGCGGCTTTGCGCTCTTCCCTTCAGAGCTTTTGTGCTTTCGCTTCCGCTTCTTCGCGTGGTCCTGTGCTGTTTCCATTTTTCCTCTTCTTCCCTGCTTCTTCTCCTTCTTCTTATATTCCGAATCACTTTCAGCCGTCGACCTGTAAAGCTCCTCCTCCTCAAGGTCGTCGTTTTTTTTTTTAAATCTGCTTTCAATAATATTTCTTTTAGATTTGCTATTTTTTTTTTTCTAATCTGATAAACTTTAAAAGTTCGAAAACCTAATATTTCTTACGTAAGTCGGCCAAACGATATTCCCTCCGACTCGGTTTCGGTCACGTGTAATGACATTAGCTAAGGACTGACTCAGCTTATGCGTTACTAATCTCTTAGTAATAAGGAAACACGTGCTCGGTCCTTTGACCCGATTTTCCGGAAACTTCTCCGGCAATCATACTATTTTAGGCAATATCCCTGTCGATCAGCGGGACCGTGAAAACTCTTTTAGCTCCAACATTTTTTTGATATCGAGAAAAGAGACTTTTCCGCCTCGTGAACGTCAAACGCTCGGGGGCTGCTGGCTCTCCGCTGCTGCTAGACCACTGCACTGCCTGGCGATCGTCGTCCGATGGGCTGGTGGTTCTTCGTTTTCACAGGCTTTTGCGCTTCGGGCGGTCACGGAGCTCGATAGACTGACTTTGTACAGCCGCGATTGCTCTTATCACGCCCGTTTGGTGATCGTCTCCCGGCGCTTATCTCCCTTCAGTTGTTATTATCTCTTGATCCGGGCTCTGAACACGGAGAGAGGATTGTTTCGGAGGGCGTAGTGTGTGTCGGCCGGGAAACCATGTACTTAGTCCCTTATCTGATCTTTTTGCACTATAGTTCTATAGACGAGGCTATTTGTCCTACTTATACCATTATAGCTTAAGTAATTTTTTCCCCTGAACTCTGGGCAGCTGCACGGATTTACTTCATTGCCGAGCTATGGCGAACAAAACTGCAGTCTGTCACCTGCTTTGAGCTATGGAGTTGCTCCCCTCATCCTTCGCGAGATAACTCTGGAGCTTGTTTCGTCAGGGGGAAAACCCGCATCTGAGACCAGAAGACCCCATACTTACGCCATGATGTCTATGAAATGGACGTGCTGATTCGACCCGTTGAGTGTCCCTGCCAAGGGTTCGACCCTCCCTAGCGCTGCATAAGTTCGCTACGTTTAGCGCTCCCTTTTCCCCGAACCAGTCCATGAGGTCCGCTCAGCCGTGAAACTAGCAGGTCAACGTGCCTGAGTTCCTCCACCTTGCGTTGATGCATGGCTATACTCTTCAACTACTATAGGTGTCATGTATGAGATTTTCCATCGAGTACTCCGTACAGGATAGCAAGTTTCTTGCTGGATGATAATTATATAAAGAAACAATCCTCCTTACAACACAGTTCCCTGCGTTATTCCTGGTGTTTATCATCAAGAATATTGGCCTCGGCTGTTGAGTAGGGAGGTTTCCACGACCACGAGCATTTTCGCGCGGCGGATCCATGCAAACGATCAATGATCGACGACGTGGCGGCCATGCCATGTGAACTCAAAGCGAAGGAACGGCCTTTTTTTTTTCACAGTTACTAGTGTAGTAGCCTCTGTACTACTTAGTGTGGACGGAGCAGAGCCGTTCCATGGAAACCGTAGGAAAGGGAACAGCATGTTTCCTCATAGGCGGCCAGGATAGGCTCAAATAGTGGTATATATTGCTCCGTAGGGCAAGGCACAAAATTCCGCGTGGAGAAAAAGACCCTCGGGCAGCTCGGATGAGATGGTTGATGTCAGATGTCAGGGGCAAGTTGGAAGTGGACTGTGTGGACTGTGTGTGGACTGTGGACTGTCGCGGGAGAGCAGATATCCCCCCTGACGGAAGGGTATATAAATGTCGACAAGGTCTTCAACCCGGTGCCTGTTTCTCTTCTCTCCTTTCCTTCTTTACACCCCATCAGTCGGCTGTCTCACTGCACATTCTCTCACTCTCTTTTCCAGTTCTTGTCTGTCATTCTTTAATACTCCCTTGTTGAGCTTGGGGTTTTAATCTTTCCTTCTTTAGCTGACATTCGTTAATACCACCTCACTCTCTCTTGACCCTGTGTGCATCCTTCAAAATGAAGGCCGCCTACTTTATCCTGCCGCTATTTGCGGCTCTTACTTCGGCACGTGCAGTTGACCATGTCGCCCGATCCGAGCATTCCGTCAGTGAATGTGCCGACTTGTTGGCGACCTGCCTTGCTTCGGTTGCCAGCTCCGGCCAGTCCAACCCACAATGTGCGGAGTATGAGAGTATGTCCAGAATCTGATACCAAATTAATAAATGTTTGAGTGCCAGGTCAAAAGTTAACCATCCGATAGAGCAATGTGGTGACCAGTCCCTCCGCCAATCCCCTGTCAAGGCCCGTGATGCTCCTGCTCCTTCTCCCGCTCAGCCTCCTAAGGATAACAACCCTCAGAAACCCCCTAAGGTCCCAGAGTTCGGGGTGTTCGCAGCCTCCGTTGAGGGTGCCGTGAAAGCCCATGCTAGTGGTAAAGTTGATGCCACTGGCCTGGCAAAGGAGCTCCATGACGCACTCTCAAAGGGAAACTGCAGCCTCACTGTCGTCCTCCAGATCATCATCAAGGCCTGCGGAAATGGCGGCGCCGGTATCAATCTTGGGGCCCTCATCAATGCCATCTTAAAGTGTGTCTGTGATCTTTTTGGCGTGTTTGACGGTATCCTCGTACATGGCGCTGCCAGTATTGGTGGCATTGCCCAAATCATCTGCAAAGTCCTCGGCGGCGTCGCCCATGTCGGTCTCGACATCGCAGGATTCATTGTAAAGATCTCTGGAATGTTCGCCCACGGTCACTTCGATCTTGCTGGACTACTGAACGCTGTCATTACCACCCTCAACGATGCTGGAGTCCACCCCCGCCATATCGGCGAGGTCAGCAATGAGCTCATGCTGCTGTCCGAGAGAACTAGCGTTGCCGCCCGTGACGAAATGGTCCATGCCCGCAGTCTGTTGGACATCCCCAAGCTGATTGCTGAAATTGTTCAATGTTTCCCGAAGGGTGGAAAGCCCGACTGGGGAAGGGCTTGTGCGCTTATTCTTCAAGTCGTCAAGGAGCTTGTCGTTGGTATCGGCAAATTCTTCATCCCCGGCCTCGGCGCCATCGCTGGCCGTGATGACGATGAAATTAAAGCAGCTGCCAGAGGCATCGCCATTGGCCGTGGTCTCAAACTTGGTCAAGGCGCCGACTGGCCCGCCTTCGCCCAGATGGTCATCGATCTAATTATGAACTTCAGCATCGGCAAGCTCATCAAAGTCATCATCGCCTTCTTCACCAACCTCTTCAAGCCAAAGAAGGCCTAAGCTAGGCACTTTGAAAGGCCAAAATTTGTGAATCTGGGAGCCTTGAGGGCGACTCTGCGGCAGTCAAAATGACCATATATATTTATTTATATATACACTCCACAGTTTTTAAGAGGCTGGAGGGAAATGGATAGTTCAATTTATCATGGATGATGCTGTATATATCTTTATTTAATTCCCCTTTCTTTTAATCGACTTATTTCTTTTCCTGTCTCTGTTTTCGTCCCTTAAATTATGTATGTATGTATCCTGTACCTGGGTATCTCTTGTCGTACAGAACCAGACCAGCTGTTGACGTGGGAAACTCGCCTGTCACACCCACGCTTAGCTGCATGAAGGGAAAAAGGGGGGGGAGGGGGGGGGGGAGCACAAGCCACTCACTGCTCTCGCTGTCTTCCCTCACTCTTATTATATTCATCTGCATTTCGTCCTCTCGTCGTCTCGTCCGTCGTCTCGTCGACCTGAGATCGTGACGTCAGTGGCGTATCAGGTGATAATGCAGCCACAGAGAGCCCTTGCTTTTTCGCCAGCCACGATATATATATGTAAGTACGTACTTACGGTACTCATATATAAGCGATCCCCAAAAGGGGAGGCGGACGGGAAAAAGGAAAGAAAGGGCAGCAAGAAGAAGAGAAGATGCCTGCAGCGCGGAGAGCAGAGCTGCATGCCGCTGCGAAGACAGGCCAACAGGATGCCACGAGCATGCGATCTGATCTTTAGTTAGGGGGGAGGGAGTGAGGTCGGTAGTTAGGGTAGAGACCAGCGCCCACGAGCTCGCACGTTCGAGCGCCAGCCTGTCAGTCTCATGCATGCATGCACTCCGTAATCTGTCTGTGACTAGTCTGCAGTCTGTAGCAGCCCTTCTCCGCGTCTTCGTCTGTACAGTTATTCTTATGATGTAACGCAGTCCGCCCGACTTCCTCTCGACGGGAGCCGGACCAAGGGCCACTTTTTCGCTGCGATAACTACGGAGTAGCTATCAGCCTCGCCTCAGGACGGGTTTCAGCACGAAGCGCGGTCTAGATCCCCAACCTCTTTGTCTCTTCTGCCATCGGTAGATCTAGCATCGACGTCTCTCGTCTCTCATCTCTCGTCTTTGTCGTCTCCCTGCTGTCTTCCTGTTGGCTGCTGGCGATGCCGGGGATGCTGGCTGCCGTCTCTGCCTAAACCCCCCGTCAGCGTCAGCCTGAGTCCAAACGCAGCGAGGCCACTCACCTGCCGCCTGCAAAAGCATCTCCAACACCGTAACCATCGACAATAAAATAATCAACATCAGGTTGACGCCGCCCAACCCATCGCCATCCCTCCGGCCAGCCGTCCAGCCCGTGGAAAGCCTTCAAAGCCGCAGCTCGTTCGCGGTTGTTGCTTAGTGAGCAGCCAGAGAAAAGCTAACTTTTTTTTTTTTCTTCCTTTCGCTTTTCGACCTTCAAAACCTCGAAAAACCTCCCAGACGTCAAGCAAAGCAAAGCGACGACGACAGCGACGACAGCGACATCGCCAGCTCGAAGCCAGCCCTCCCTTGCTGCCTCTTCGTTGCTCCTCCCAGGCGTCTGCTTTTGGCCCGACGATGCGACGCTCGCTCTGATCGCCAGCTCTTCTCTCGCTCTCTCTCTCGCCCCGTCGTGAGTCCCGAGT